CAAAGAGCTGACATAAGAAGTAAAGTATTGGTGGTCCCAGATGTGGAGTTGTCGCCTACACTGTGGCGCCGTGGGCGGCCAGGCTGGCGTGGGGGGGGGGTCAGGCAGGGGTGGGCGGCCAGGCTGGCGGGGGGGGGTCAGGCAGGGGTGGGCGGCCAGGCTGGCGTGGGGGGGGGGGTCAGGCAGGGGTTGGCGGCCAGGCTGGCGTGGGGGGGGGGGGGGTCAGGCAGGGGTGGGCGGCCAGGCTGGCGTGGGGGGGGGGGTCTGGCAGGGGTGGGCGGCCAGGCTGGCGTGGGGGGGGGGGGGGGGTCAGGCAGGGGTGGGCGGCCAGGCTGGCGGGAAAGAGCGAGTAGTAAGTAATTATCAAAAGAAGGCACCAAACCGGGAAGGCTACGTAGCACCACCAAATGTGCTGAATAATCAGAGGGCGCTAAATATCACCAAGGATGCCAATACGAGAAAAAAAACGCATAAGGTGAACGATATCAAAAGTATTCGATTCACCAAGAATTCTATCGAGGGACAATTGACCGCGAGGTAATGGTTGGAACGCAAGACACGCTCCTCCTGGAAGTCAGGACATTCAACAAGGATATGCACGACCGTAAGAGGGACAATGCAATGTGGACAATAAGGAGCCGGGTGGTGCTCCATTAAGTGACCGTGAGTTAAACGTGTATGGCCAATATGTAACTTCACCAGAGCCGTTTCCCACCGCCGGTTACAGTGGCAGGAGGAAGGTAACAGGGACACAAGACTCTTAAGAGCACGCAGTTTGTTACCAGTAACAGAAGGCCAACAACCCTGCCAGCGGGCAAGGATGGAGGCATGAATAACTGGGTAAAAGTCGGAATAAGGAACACCTTTACGGGAGATGGGACAAGTGCGGATACCTTCCTTAGTGGCAGCATCCGCACTCATTTAAAGAGACACCAACATGGCTGGGAACCCAGCAAAACTCTACCAACTAAAATTTACTGGAGATAAGAAATAGCCAATGTTGAATCTCTATGACCACCGGATGGTCCAGATTAAAGGACCCCAAAGCCATGAGGGCACTACGAGAGTCAACTACCACCACAAAGAAGGATTCACAACGAGAA